AAGGTTGTGTCATTTGGATTGGAGTTTTTTTGGCGGGATTGTGTTAAAAGCTGAACTGAAGTTGACAAAGAGCAGCCTTGCATAGATGCTTTTGTGCTCTAGGTGTCCTAATAGAGTGTGGAGCATAGCAGCGATGGTGTCGTCCATTGACTTGTTCTCCCTGTATGCAATTTGGTGTGGGTCAAGTGCCTGTGGTGCATTCACAGAACTACATACAGAAAGTACAAGCAATTTGTTGCTAATGTGGACAAATATGGTTTAAATCAGTTTCAAAATGTATATAATCATTACTAACAGAAAACATAAGCACAGTAATTAAAAAAACAAAAACATCTGTGGCACCCTGCAATGAATGAATTAAATGGGATCATATCATTTTCAAAAATGTGTCAAGTTTGTCTCTGTGAGTGTGAAAAGATCATTCAGACATGATTCTGTCGTGTATGATAAGTTGATTTCTTTTTTTAACAACCCAAGTCAAACATTGTCAAAACAATGTGACATTCTTTAAAGAGCATGTTGACACAAAATATTTACAGTACAAGGGTCCTTCTGAAAGTTTCTGCCTCAACCGGAAACAACTGTATACTGTAAAAATCACTGTCTACAAAAACTCAGATTTTTCTTGTCATTTCCTTGCAAGGAGGTAAATGCTTCAAGCTGGACTGCTGGTGCTCCAGGACAGTGTGGTATAGACTGTCAGGTGAGTAAGGTGTAGCAGTTCAAAGCCCTATTTTCTGCCACCTGTGCCTTGTGGACTGACGCATTGTCCTGGAGCAACAGCAGTCAGCTGCAAACTTTGCTCTCCTTTTTTTTTTTAATTGCTTCAAACATTTGAGTTTTTGTAGACAGTGATATAAGGCTTCATAGTTTACAGTTATGCCCCAAAATAGGAGTTACGGCCCTTGTTTCTAGGTGAGGCTTTTTGAAGTACCTTTGTAAGTTCTTTTATTACGACATATTTGCGGAGATTCAGGAAAGATGCAGCAAAAAAACATCTCCATTAATTTTCACTTCATAAAGTCTGCATTCCACACATTCATCCAACATGCGCTGCTTTGGTAGAGATACAAATGCTGCCTGTTGTCTCCTACATGTTAGAGAGTCTGTCTTTTGTGCAGCTCTCTCTTTTCTGCAGGATGTTGATATTAGACAGAGCAGGCAGCATGGAATCAGGACAACCGATCCATTGAGACAAGTGGAAGAAGGGACAATGGAGTCATTGGCTTCACTGATTAACAATCACAAAACTAAATATGAGGTCACTCTGATAGCTCAGCCTACAGGAGTTACACAACGGACCAGTGGGATGATTTTGAGATCCATTGCTTTAAACACTTGTCACATTGTTAATATCATTATGTTTTTGTCTGTCTTCTTTCCTTAACATTCACATTTATACAAAATTGGGATCAGATTACTGTGTACGTTCTCTCAGTTCACCCTCTTACCCCCTTGTTGTGGAGGAGGAATTAATTCTGAGTGTCCTTTGTAAAAAAAATATACAACTAGTGACTTGTGCTGACAATCAGAAGCTGACGATACAAAGGAAGCAACACATAAAGAGAAAGAAAAATAGAGTGTAAGGTCATCCTTAACACACAGAATTTTGATATTTAACAGCAGATCATATTTTCTCTGATGAACATTTTGTTTACCATCAGCCCCATCACAAACCAACCAGCCCTTTTCCAACTCCTTCTGCACATGCACGACAAGTACAGTACACTAAATGTAAGCTTAAACATTTATATTTAAATAAAAAACACAAATCCAAAAGAAATGTTCAAGCCAAGTCTAAAAGTCAAACATATACAAGTGCAATCTCAAAACAATCTGGATTGTTTGATTTTATTTTGTAAATGTAAAAATTACAAATATACAGTATACACGAGCCAAGAGTACAAGTCAGTGTTACATACAATTACACCCATGTAAAGTGTCTTGAACCAACCAGAGACAGAGAAACAGCATTTCAGTAAGGACATATGGAAACACCAAATATAGAAATGTCTGTTTAGAAGAATTGTGTTCCATCATTTATGTTTAAGTGGATGATAAGAAAAAAAGAAAGAAAAAAAAAAGAAAGAAAGTTAAAAAGTTTGCAACTGACATTTTGAACTGTCAGGTACTTTAATGTGGAGGGTCCTGACAGGGGAAGGATGTTATCTAGGTCATGCTTATGAAGCCGAAGTTATCGAGTTGTTTTTTGTGGGGTATATGCGTGTTCACCAAAGTACGTGACATTGGTGTATATTACACAGGAAGGCACTAACATTTCATGCTTTTTTCAAAATACATTTTCTTCCAGATGCTATTACATGCTATATAGTTGGGTTTTTTTTAGTGTTTTTATAATCCACCTCGTTTACAACTCATGAATTCATACAATGCCTTTGTCTACAACTGTTAAATTATGAATTCAATCCCACAGTCAACAAAAAGCATAACTGACCTAACTATAAGGAGTGGATAAGTTCATTTTGTTTCTTTCCTATGTGGCATATTTATTTCATTTTTCTTTATTATTCTTATTTTATTTTATTCTGTATTTTCCCCTCATGCAAACGTGTGAGTCGGTAAAGTTTTCAGGGTGTTCAAAGGAAATGTTTAGAACTTGAACGTTTTTTTCAGCAATTCAGACCATCTGCTGTTTGTACAATTGCCAAATTGCAAATTGCTGTCTGGTAGCGAACCCATCCTACATCTCACTGACATTACACTGGGCTGACTGTGTCTGATTCAGGGGTGGAACAATCATTTCCTTGTGACTTATGTGTATGCGTGCGTCTGTGTGGTTGTCAGAGTGCAGTGGTTTTTCTGTTTCTGTAGAGCAAACATGTAACACACACACACACACACACACACACACACACACAGTGCACACTGCCTGGGTGGGAGTGTTTTCAACAGTCACATGTGAAGCCAGTGGGTGGGAGTTTGTGATGACATCTTACTTTAATATAGATAGATTCTCGGAACACTCATACATACAACAGGCCTGCATAGAACCAGAAAATGCTTCCTTTTGTACCACTGCAGAAAACGTTACAGAGAAATCTTACGTAGACAATCCTTGAACTCTAAACACCAAAGAGTTTCTGTGTGTTTTTTGGTTCGGTCACATTTTTCTTCACTGTGGGCTTATTTTCCACTGCAATATGAATTGCAGTGAATCTGTGGAAACAGCACAACGATGGCTAGAAGGAGAGCGAAGTCAGAAGTGTCCTATGTGCAGGATAGCACAGTTTTAGGAACTCTTCACACATCTATCACATGTGGCAGGTGTGTCGGAGAGGGACGAGAACATCCAACAGATACGAATCAGATTTCTGCACACTGTTCCTAGACCTTCATCAGGCAAATAGACTGTTTCCCTGATGAAAGTCCTAGACCAAAACTTTGCACTAAAAAAGTTACGATTGCAAGTTAGACAGTATGCAGAAATCTGTTTTGTACCAGTCTAGCACAGGTAAAATGCTATAAATCCATCCATCATTTATAAACCGCTTAATCCTCACTAGGGTCATGGGGGGGCTGGAGTCTATCCCAGCTGACTCAGGGTGAAGGCAGGAGACACCCTGGACAGGTCACCAGTCTGTTTAGAATCATCAAATAACCTCAACATTGGACAGGCTGCAAGGTGGATCAGTGGTTAGCACCGCCTCACAGCTAGAAGATCTCCGGTTCACATCCCGGTGAGGACACCCGGGATCTTTCTGCATGGACTTTGCATGTTCTCCCCGTGCAGAGTGGGTTGTCTCTGGGTGCTTCCTCCCACAGACCAAAAACATGTTGAGGTTAAGTGGTGATTCTAAATAGACTGGTAACCTGTGTGTTTAGTTGTCTGTCTCTAAGTGTAACCCTGTGATAGACTGGTGACCTGTCCAGGGTGTCCCCTGCCTTCACCCTGAGTCGGCTAGGATAGGCTCCATCCCCCCGCAACCCTAGTGAGGATTAAGCGTTGTATAGTTGGATGGATTTTTTTAGGCTATGGGAGGAAGCCGGAGAACCGGAGAGAATCCACGCTGCGCAGGGAGAACATGGAAACTCCACGCAGAAAGATCCCGGGTGTCCTAACCTGGACGTGAACCGGGGATCTTCTAGCTGCGAGGCGACGGTGCTAACCACCGAGCTAGCTTGCAGCCCATGCTATAAATCATTACAAATAAATTGAAAGTTTATTTCTTTGACCATATGTTTTCCATCAATTCAAAAAGTCTTGTTTACAAAATTTTCCCAAGTATTCACAGAGTGCAAGAGTTACCGATGCTGGGGGGCACAATGATGGTTCGACATAATATAGGTATTATGCTGTCTACATTTTTACAAGCTCGACAAACCATTTTTTTTGTTTTTTGTTTTTTGCAATGCTCTGCTCATCAACTCCAGAAAGATATTTCACCATGCTGAATGTGTATTCCAACAGCTTGCAAACAACTTACTCCCCTCTATTCCATTTTTGAACCATGCTGCATTTATTTTACTGATCAAGTATGTTTCATTTTCCTCTCATTCTCACTTGTTCTTCCTGTTCCTCTCTGCTTTATGCAAACTAAGCCTGCAGTTCACCTGAACACTCTTTGTCATGTGACTGTTGGTCATGGTTGAGTCAGTTATGCAGATACATAGTTTTTGGTTTTACAGGATCGAGTGGAAAAAATGTAATTATTGCAGAATTTCTAAATGACTCGTGTAGAAAAAAAAACATAATTTTAAGCTTACATTTGGTTGTTTTCCCCCAACAAGACTGTACATGACATATTTTACATGCATGACCATCCAAAAGTTGAAAATCTCTCTTTTTTTACACTTTCTGACTGATAAATGGTGTCATTTGGCTTCTTTTTATTTCTATTTTTTTAAGAAAGCAAGCCTTTCAAACCTGGTGGAGCGTTTAGGGATTTAGAGGATTACAAGTTTACTATATACTGTGAACAATTAAATGGCCTGTACCTCATCATTCTTCCTTTTTTTTTCCCTTTGTCTTTCTCTGTTAGATCAAGAGAGAGAATGATGTTCTGTACCCTGTCCAGTCCAGCCTTGAGCACAGCCCAGTAACACCATGTACAGGTAAGACTGTCAGTCTGTTAATCCACTGGGATGGACAGATTTCAAGAGGGCACTGTGATTACTGTGACATCCAGACCAGAGTTAGATCACTTTCTCAAGTGATGCATATATCAGTCGCTTTCTTGACCCTACATCCCTTCTTTTTTCTTTCCAGACATCCATCCAGACAGAGGAGAGTGTGTCTCGGTGTGTTTGTTGCACAGAGACACAATAGTCGAAGACAGTCTGGAAGTCAATGCAGACTTGGATGACAGAGTGTTTAAAAAGGTACAACCCCTGATTCTGATTCCTGTAAATGTAAGTAAGGTGTTGCATCTCCAAGTCTCTGAACTCTACTGGAACACCATTCTTTCGAAAAATATTCCCTCATTTGGTGTTTTAATGATGGTGGTGGAGAGCGCGGTCCAATATGTTGGTCCGAAATCCTTAATAGGTGTTCAGTTGGGTTGAGATCTTATGACTGTGAAGGTCATAACTTATGATTCACAGCATTTTTATCAATCTGTTCTTTGACATCTTCTGTCCTATGGAATGCGCCATTATCCTAGAATTATCCGAAGAGCCGTTTGATTCATGTATTCACATATTAAAATGCACACTGATGGATTGCGGTCGTGATGTCATGCTGAGATGATGGAAGCCAGAGAGCTGCCAACCCACTTATTCCTAAATGTATTTTTTTAAGAGACATATCTTTGGCTCCTCTTAATATACAATGCAGGGAGCAATTGGTAATTGTCAATGGATGTCACCAATAAAGTGACAAATTTGTGTGCACATGGTGTGACGGAAGCCTTTCAAGTAAAACTGTCTAAAACACACGTACACACACCTGTGCTCAATGTACAAGAAGGGGGGTACCTGTTTGTGTAGCCTCACACACATCCATGTATTTTATCCTGCTAAGAGCTTGTCGTCACATTTCCATCAGCTCATAATTCCTTGTGGAAGTATACATAAACAATGGAGTCACATGGGTTTTTGATCAGCACAGCAGCTGCCGTTCATTACACACCTTTTTCACATTATGTTCACAAATAGGAATGCAGATTTCTACCTCTGCCCTATTCTAAAATTAACCGGGATGGGAAAACCTCTGGTGTGACGCAACAGACTTGAAACACTTTGCATTCTGCAGCTTGGCAGCTACCAAAGGAAAACCAGCTGAAAGACTGTTCCTCATAACTGTATGAATGCTGGGTGATAAACTCCTAATAACATGGACGATATAAGACAAAGCCCACATAGTCCCTATGCTATAAAGGGTCAGTAGTTTTGATAGTAGTTTGCCTTTGATTCAGCTTCTTCACAGGGCAGTTGTATCATTGCTGTGTAGAAGTCTGTTCAGGGTGTGATCAGTGCAGCTCAGGGTGACTCACATGTTCTGAAAGAGGCCCTTTCCTCCAGGTTTTCCTAAAACTTTGCTGCTCCAGAGACCACACGTGACTCAGCTAAACTCTTCTGCTATTTTCTCCAATAACCTCATCTTACTTTTAAAAACTGACAGCAGTAGTCAGCTTTTGAAAGAAATTATGGGATTTTTACAACAAAAAGAAGTGTTCTTGTGGAATCCTTGAAATCTCCTCACAGTGCCATACAGATTCTGACCAGTGGGGGAGTACTCACAGGAATTTCTTTCCTTCATTGCTGAAATCTCTTGTGTCCTCTTTTCCTCTCCAGCCCAAAGATCCTCTCTCCTTTGTTGGACACATGGACAAACAGGTCCGTGTCTCCTGGCCCTCCACTGATGATGCATTAATGCAGGAAGCCTTCAGTCCCGGCAAAGGGACCCTGTCATCAGGCACACCCGAGACTGCAGCCCCTCAGAACTCTAGACTGTCCTGGAAATCAGAAACAGAGGACAGAGGTAAAGCACACAATTTGCTCTTTTAGGTTTCCAGTTGAGAGCTGTACCTATTTTTTAAAAGAATTTAAGGAACTGATTTACAAGAATAGTTACATGAGATGATACCACTTAGCATAATTACTAAATCTTCACAGTTTTCTGCACATGTCCCTCCTCTGTTTTTGTCTGTGAAATGATGGCAAAGTCTGTTGAACATAAATGGCAGTCGACCAGCAGGACAAAAACCATGTCAGTGAGGGTAAACAAAAAATCTAGCATCAGGTTCTTCAAAGTGATGCAATATTTTTCAGAAGTCTTGGTATTTGAGTGTAAAAATCTAAAAAGAGAAAACACGGTCATCGGTAGATTTTTAAAAATGGCATCTTCTTTGTAATGTATTTGTAGGTAACATGGACTTACATACACATGGTGCCATTTGTACCTTCCTTTATTCTGCATTACTGACCCTTTGAGGCCTGAACTCCACAGAACTCTTAAGGTGCCCTGTGGTATTAAGCACCAAGACGTTAGCAGCAGATGCTTTAGGTCCTGTATGATACAGGGTAAGCACTCCATGGATCTGTTTTCCTAGCATATCCCACAGATGCTCGATCCAACTTGGAGGCCAAATCAACATCCTGAACTCTTTTCATGTCCCTCAAATCATTCTTGAACAATGTTTGTAGTGTAGCAGAGAGCAACACTCTGTTGAAACAGGCCTCTGCCATCAGGGAATGCCATTGCCATGTAAATGGTCTCTAACAATGTTTAGGTGCTACGTGTTAGAGTAACTTTCAGATGAATGCAGGACCCAATTTTCCCTGCAGAAATTTGTTATCTCTCAAGTAAACAATGTGCACGCTTTTGCCGGTCCACATGACGTAAAAGAAAACATGATTCATCATTCTGCTGTTCTGATGCTGCATTTGCTGCGGTCTGCATTTATATTGCGCCTTTCGACCTTAGTGGTACTCAAAGCGCTTTGCAGTGTTTTCTCATTCACCCATTCAGACACAATTATAAACCAGTGGCGACAGAGCAGCCATGCATGGTGCCTGCCTGCCTGCCTGCCTGAGAGCAGCTTCGCATTCAGTGTCTTGCCCAAGGATACTTCAACATATGAGGGAATTGCCAACCTTGCGATTAGAGGATAACCTGCTCTACCACCTGAGCGACAGCCTCCCTTTCAGCAGTGTACTGGATTACACAGCACACTGTTCATACAAAGCAAGCTGTGATGTGTGTTGTGACATTTCTCAGCAATTTGTGCTACAGTGCCTCACTGTCTGGGATCAGAGCACATGTGTCAGTGGTATTCGCTTCACCTGTCTGTGGTTTTAATGTTGTAGCTTTGCTGTCAACCTCAATATATTTTCTTGCTGGGTATTAGTATATGTTGTTTTATAAATGTGACTGTGGGTAAATAATAGTTCCATATTTCTGTTTAAAATCCAAGGAGGAGGGGAGACAGAAGGAATGGGAAACATAGAGGAGAATAAAGACCAACTGTCAGGAAATCCTGCGTCTTCGGCCGACTTGTGTGCCTCCGTCCGTTCCTTGTCTCCGTTTCGTCGTCACAGCTGGGAGCCGGGCAAGATCAACACTGCTACACATATTGATATTGCACAGCACAGGTACTGGGTTTCCAACAATATCAGCATCCTGTAAACTTTTCTAAAATCATATTGTGTAATAGGGCTGCAAGGTGGCGCAGTTGGTTGCACTGTTGCCTCGCAGCAAGTAGGTCGCCGGTTCGTGACCTGCATGGAGTTTGCATGTTCTCTCCGGGTTCTCTGGCTTCCTCCCACACAGTCCAAAAACATGTTGAGGTTAATTGGTGATTCGAAATTGTCCGTAGGTGTGAGTGTGCTTGGTTGTCTGTCTCTAAGTGTAACCCTGCAATAGACTGGTGACCTGTCCAGGGTGTCCCCTGCCTTCACCCTGAGTCAGCTGGGATAGGCTCCAGCCCCCCGCGAACCTAGTGAGGATTAAGCGGTGTATAGATAATGGATGGAAATTGTGTAATATCTAGTCCTCAGGGCACCTCACACATTAGGCTTCAAAGATAAATCCAAGGACCGTCTTGCCCCAGAGAGTGTGAGAATAACAGGACCACAAAGTGCCCCAAATCCACAGCTTTAATATAGTGGGGACATGCTGTCATGACTTCTGAAACAGTTTTGTGAATAGTTGTTGGTGTTCTGACAGCATCTCTCTTTGTTTATCTCACATCTCTATCGTTGTTTTCACCTCACACTCCTTATCTCTCAGCCTGCTGTAGATGTTTAAGCACACTGTATCACTGCAGTTTAAACTCCACAATCATCATCACTCAAAATGTTCTTATTTGATGCTTGATCTAACTTAAACTGTGGCAGGAATAGCCACTCAGGATGTTTGTATTGCTGTAGTTGCATGTCAAGGCAAAGACACATCAAGTTTGACACCAATGCATATTATGAAGAGGAAAGCTATTGGTTTTCTTTCTGCGCTATATCAAGGTTATCTTCTCCATTAAACACTCAGGAGCATAATGCACTGGGTTCCTTCAGTGTGTGTTAATTACCAAACTAGGTTCAACTGCATTCCAATATTACTGTTGATTCATTTACACCCAGTGATGTACAGATGTGATAGGACAATGGAGGAAATGTTTTAACTTGAACGTATTGGAGGTAAACAATGAGAGCAGCAACAACATCACACCAGCATTATTTATTCAGTTCAGCACTGAAGATGTAAAAAGAGCAGCTCTTTTGCTTAACAGTGTATCCCTCCCTTTTGTTTCCACTAACTGTCCATCTGTCCCCTCTCTCAGCTCATTGAAGAGCCTGTCAGAGGAGGTGAAGAAAGCCAAGCCCCCCCTCCACAGGAGAAGGTACATTTTTCATTCTGCTTTAGCTTCACCTCCCTGTCTGTCTGTTGAAATGATCACATTCTTCTTTATTTACTGCCACATCATATATTTTTTAGCCAAATGAGATGTCCACATGAGACAGCCGGTAATTCAGCTCTTTATTCCCTCATGTCTTTCAAAAACCTGTCTGAAAGAAAAAATATATAAATGTTGTGATATCATTGTTTTCCTTCTTTGCAGTCAGAATCAAGTGTTTGGGTGTGGTTTGCTTTCTTGTCTTTTATTACAAGAGTGCAGTGACTGTGTCATACTCACACATACACACTCACTGGCCCATGCCAGGGGATCCAGGGGAAAGATTCATGAATGAAATGAAAGCAGCAGTCCTGAACAGTCTGAGGTGGATAGGGAAAAATCTCCTTTAATTCAGTCTAATGTGGTGCAGTGATGTTTTTCAGGTTCAGCTTATCAAGACCTCAGCAGCTGGAGACAAACATCTGTTTGTTTCACAGCACTTTTTTTCTTTTTGCCTCTCTGTAACTCAGTCTCCTCTCACTTATTAGTCTTTACATTACTGCCGTGAGGATTGAAGGGGTGAAGCAGGGCAGCCAACCTTCTTCTCTGACACCAAGACAGTCCAAGAAATGAATAGTTCAGACATATATCTTTTATCATAAGACCATCATCATTGTTCCACCTCATTCTTAAAGCATCCCTTTGACCAAACGTCTAATCATCACTTTTTTATTCATCTCTTCTCCCTTTCCTTTTTTCACATTTTTATGATCATTTATTCTTCATCTTTCTATTTCTCCAGTATGAGCTGGTGTCCATCCAACCTACGTTGTCCTAATCAGGAGCAAATAGACAACCGAAGGTAAATAGTAAAGGTCAACAGCAGTACACAGTTCATTTTCTAGCAGCATTTCAGTCTCCATCAGGGTAGTGTCTTCAAACATCATCTCTAACTATAATGTAAAATACACACATTCAGTAAAGTAAAACAGTCGTCCTGCAAAGCACAACGCTATGCAGAGGAGCATTATGAAATCAAGTCATCTATAAGTTAATGCTGTCTCTTTTCATTCAGCTCCAGTCTGGAAGGTCTGGAGGTGGGGAGGACAGCGGTTCAAACTCAATGTCCCAGCTTCAGTGATCCAGAGGAAAGGGCTGCAGGCACAAGTTTACACTTTGATAACCAGGACAGAGGCTCTCTGGTCTCTCTCACCGAGGAAGAGCAGGAAGGAGATGGCAGTAGCATTGATAGCCAGGTATGCACCCCTGCATGCCTTCTTATGTGTGTATATTACACAACACAGGTGAGTACACTCTTGTGCAATATCACCTAAATGTCAATTGATTTACAGTTGTATCAGCTCTAAATAACTGCATTATTTTGAAGTTGAATAGTGGAATATTTCCTCTTACAAGCAATAACAAATGCTATAGAAAGATTGTTTTGAAAGTACGAGCCCTAACCTACTCAACAAATGTAAATACACGTGTGATCGCTGACATAAAATTGAGTACATATATAATTTCTGATGAGCCTACTTGCATGAAGATGGTAATAAAAGGAGCTGCGAACACCAGATCTTTCACAGTTTTAGATCCATGGGCTGTATCTATCTGGACATCTAAGTCATTGCTCCACACTGAAAAAAATTACCAAAGAAACTGAAAAATGTGATTATGAGACTTCACAATGGTGGAAAAGGATCCAGAAAGAAACAGAAGTTATGTGGAAACACAGTACAGCAGTAATCAGAAGATACAGATTGAAAACAATTAGCATGAATCAGTTATAATGGTTATCCTCCTAAAATGACGCCATGGACAGTGTGCTACTTTCACAGTCTAGCTAACGGGGTTTCTGTAACAGCTCTGACAGTATGAAGGATGTTGCATAATTTCCCCTTGTATGGACAGCAATGAGAAAAAAAAATGCTTGCTTACTGTTTGGTTTAAAACTGTAAGATGTACAGTAACTTTGACAAAGAACATGAAAGCAAGCCTGCTTAATTTTGGGAGCACATAACTTGCCAGATCAGAGAAAGACACATTTGTGCAGCTCAGATGAAGTCCAGCACGTTTGACATGAGTGTGTTCAGGACTACAATAGTAAATTCATAGTCCTGACAGTGATGCACAAAGTTGGTAGCGGGATGCTGCATGGGTACAAAAGGTGTTTGGGCAATGACATTTACAGATGGCACCCTAAATGTCTGTGGATCTACCAAAATACTGGCTGACAAGGTAACTACCAGTCTGTGGAAACTTGGCAGGAAGGAATATTCCAGTAAGATCCAAAGGACACTACCAAAAAGGTTTTCTAAAGAAGGAAAAAGTGAAAACTGTGACCTGTCCAAGTACGTCATCTGACTTGAATCTAGCAAAACAAAGCTGCGGTATTTTAAAGAGAAAAATCGAGTAACAAAACCCTTCCAACAAAGAGCAGCTGAAAAAAAATAGTCTCTAAACAATAGCAGAACATCTCTCCAGAAGTTTGTGCAACACTGATGTTCTCCATGCAGAGGAGGATTGAGACTGTCATCTAAAAAGAAGGCCAACATGTAAAGGACTGAACAAAATAAAAGATGTGATTCTCAGGAATGAAAGATGTAATTGCTTTTGTTGGATTTTGTTCCGACTATGGGGCCCGTGTTCGTAATGTAGGAAATCTAAACTGTTCTTAATTTCACACAAGAGCAAATACTCTATGGTCTTATTTGGTAGTAATACAGCTGCTGTAAGGTGATACAGTTTTGAATCATTCAACGTTTAGGTGACATTGCACAGGAGTGTAATCACTAATATTTTATACTGTACATTATTTCAGCTTTTTCTCACTGGACTATTGGTCTTCAGGCTTAATTTCTGTTACGTTTTTTGTCTGAATGGACTTGTTAATTTTCCCTTTTGTGTTGAAAGACATTGCATCAGGTACTGTCAGCGACAACCAGCTGTCCTGCCATAATTCATCATCAAACTGTCACCAAATCCTTCTCCACGCTCACCATCAGCCACCGGGACATAGATGGTAAGCTTCTGCTTAACGAACCTCTTTTTTTAATTATGGCTCTTGATCTTTTTATTTCCTTTCACCATTTCATCCACTTTCCCTCCTGTGGTTTTAGTTAAATGTAGAGACTCTTAAACTTCCTTAGTAAGATGAAGATTTTACTCGTTCATCTTTTCATCCTGGCACACCCATTGATGCTTTTTAGTGCATGGATTTCCTCGATCAAAGCGACGAATCAGCTTCTCTCTTGGTATCTCCTCGCTCCTCCCCAAAAGTAGACGCCACTTTTCTATTGGCTCCTCCTCCAGTGATGATGATGAGGAGGAGGGAGGGAGTAAGTATGATGACGTAACTGTAGTCCTGTGTCTATTCTGTCAGCATGGTATCCTGTAATACTACTCACCAAAACAAGTGTTCACCAGAATACATTCCCATGCGTCTGGAACTGCAGACTCAGATGGATCAAAAAGACATTCCCTGCTGTATTTGTCTGTGAAAGTCTAAACTAAAAGAATCTGTTTATTTGGATATGAGGAGTAGTGAGGATTATGAAAATGTACAGGGGTGTTTTGTCTCTGTATTAATCTCATGAACACTTACTGATCTTTAAAGCGTAATACTGATAAGCAGAATAAAAACACTGCCTTAATGTGGTTTTTCTACTAAAATTAAACCATTTTTATTATATTAACCAAACCTTAACCATTGGATACCTTAATTTCAAAGGATGTTTTTTTAAACAGATAAAGAAAATGGGCACGTTTGCTGTCAAACCAAGGGTTACTTTTAGTTGGAAGAAAAGATTAATTAGTGTGTTTCATAGACAGACACGTAAAGCTAACTGTAGCATAGCACATAGACTTCAAGACATAAAAATACACCAACCAGACAGCCTCCGAAACTCATATGACAAGAGTCAAGTTGGTCATTGTCATCCTTGAACTACCGAAATCTATCCAGTGAGTCTCTCAACATGGCTATGCTGAAAGTGTTGCGATCTTGTACAACTTATCTCCTGTATTTCTTTGGCAACTGACAATCGTGTGGAGCCCACATCCTCTCCTCTTTGTTTGTTCACCTCTTTAATAATGGCACTAAAACAGCTTTTTCCACCCTCACTGCTGTGATGTGGCAGTTCATACATGAGCCTTGTCTCTGTGATGCCAATACTGTATTTTATTGACCAGATTTCAGTTTATGAATTTGGCTTTGAAGACTTTGTTGCAGGTATCACAGAAACATGTGGTGTGACTGCATAGTGTGGCAGCTGTGTTGGACTGATCAAGTGATGTTTGTCCTGTGTGCTTCCTGTAGGGGTGAGCTCACTGTCCGGCAACTCTGAGTCACTGGGATACAGGTAGGAAGAGACACTGATAAAACTAATGTTATTTTACTACTATTCACTTTTAAACCAAACTCTGAAGACCTAAAGGAGCAATCAAAAAAGACAATACCTCTCCACAGAAGATATTAACAAAGTCTGTACCCTGCTCTTATGCGGCAACTATTTAGTAATAATGCAGTTATACTATTTCCATCAGGCCACCAACTGTAGTATTGATGTATCCACTTTAAATCACTTAGAAAAACATTGGGATTGATATTATCCACTGGCAAGAGTATTAAATTCTAAAAAAAATCTAAATGTGCAGAATGGCTGCATCATTGCTCTGTGTGTTTGTCAGTATTTCAGAAGAGCCAGGCCCTCTTCGGAGTGACATTGAGGAAAGAGGACCGAAAATCAGTCGAACATTCAGCTACCTTCGCAGCAAGATGAGCAAGAAAGGCAAGGTGAGAAAACGGGTTTCACAGACTTCACACTGCTCTGTGAGAGGACCACCTCACTAAAACCAATCTGCAAAATCAATAACACAACTTGGCCTTCATAAGATGTTATGTGGTCACATTTTGCGAGGTTTGAGTGTCAAATATACACCAATATGCCACAAGATTGAAACCACTAACAAATGCATGAATAACATTGATTATCTCATTATAGTATTGCCTGTCAGTGGGTGGGATATACTAGGACACTCAGTTCTTGGAGTTGATGTGTTGTAGGCAGGAAAAATGGGCATTGTGAGGATCTGAGCGGCTTTGACAAATTGTGATCGCAGTGAATCAAAGTCATAATTATTATTTATTTTTTAAAATCCAAAGTGCTTCACAAGGAGAGCAAAGTAAAACAAATCAGTCGAAAGAAGCGCGTTTCGGGCTACCGCTATTGCTCACCTGGTTGTGCTGGCGTCCCACGTACAGGGGCTATAGTCCCCGATGCAGCGGCCTCCCCACTTTCCTGTCTCTCTCTCGACTGTTCTATCTAATAAAGGCCAGAAAAATAGCTTAAAAAGAAGCACATGTCCTTATTTTATTACATCCTTCATTATATTTGGATGTGTCTTTGCACTTTCCTGTTTCAAGTTCATTAAGCTCATTCTTCAAATCACTAACAGATCATAATCCATGTTGTTTATTACTCGATCTATAATTCCTTGAACTGTTACCAAAGCATCTAAATCAGTAGGGCTATGCAAAATGATTGATATTGTCTGTAAAATGTGGCTCAATAATATGATAGCCTCAACCAACTCCAAGACATATGAGCTAATGATGCTGGTGCAGCCCCACAGTGTTCACATAAATGGGCTTATTTTAATAAACATTTTATTGCGTTTTTATTTAGACCAATGTAAGCAATGTATTATCTTAATTTGTAGGAGGCCACATTTTAAACACATTTAAAAGTTATAAATCTGTCCCAAGACCTGTTCTTGCCACTGCTCTTCTGCAAACTCTATACTTACGGTGTCCTGCCACGCGCTATAGTTTGTTGCACATGTCAGCTGATACACTTCAAACACACTGATGACATTTATTCCACTGAAAAATTAGGATTATTAGGCTTAAGGCACTGACATTTAGTGCTTTTCCCGTATCTAAAACATTTGCTCTCACTTGTATTTTTTCAAGAGGGATGTATGTTGTCCATGCTGAAAGATTAAAACAATGTGTCTTTGCATTCTGCAGGCTTTCATCAACTAATGCTAATGTGAAAGCAGATAGCAGGAAAGCTACCACCACCCCAGTCTGGCCCACTTGCCTGCTGCCATTTTTTGATTAGCATTTTTGTCTTGCACATAGTGTAAAGTCAAACATTAATATTACATAAACTTCAACACCATAATTTGTCATTATTTTCTGGCACTTTATATATGACAGTGAATCATTTTCTTCAGAACTTTATTGACGTTTGTCGACTTGAATGCCACTGGGAGGCACTGTGACACCGTCAGTAAGGCTGCAACCAGTTTGCATGTGAAGTTCATGTAATAATGCATCATTAGGAATGAATGGACCATTTGAGATTATTTAGAGTTTATCAGTCGAATTTCAAGCTAGTTTAATGTGAGCTTGTGCATTTCACTTGCACGTCTCAAACACAGCAAACCTTTACCCAGCAAACCAAAATTAGATCTGAAACTAAATGAAAAGTGAAGTGAAAGCAAACATTCAAATGCATGAATAACAATATTAGAATAGAACTGATAAGGTGAAAATATTTACTAAACTATAGAATCCAAAGCCATCTGAAAAAAGAATGAAAAGGTTGATTAAATATATAATGATCAAAATACTGCCCCCCAATAAAAGAGTAATTCTGCAAACCAATTAATTGTCATATGCGGTGGCTTTGTCATGACAACAGGAGTTCTGCAAAATACTGCAGCAGTCTATGAAAGAGGAACTCTGCATGTGTGTGTGTGCGTGTGTGTGTGTGTGTGTGTGTTTGGGGGGGGGGCTTGTGTATGCATGTACAGATGGTTGCAAGCTCATTTCCTGATTTGACAGCAGACAGCTGAGTAGCAGCAGTTTGTGCACAATGACTGAATCAAAGTGACAACAA